GACTCCACGCTTTGTGGGTTGTGAACATCCGGCGCGAAGGAGGGGGGATCACCAGGAGGCTCGGGCTCGGGTCCGGGCTCATCGGGAGCAGGTCCAGTGGGGGCGGAAGGGGCGATGGGCTGGAGTCCACCCTCCTCCTGGAACACGACGGAGCGAAGGGTATATCCGCTGACGATGACCGAGGAGAGCAACACCTCGACGGAGTGAGCATAGGAGTGCCAGTTGGCGGCCGAGTTGTCGCCCAGCAGCTCGAGAGCGTCAATGGTCGCTAGATCGACCGATGAGTCCGACGACGCCATGACGGCGGAGGGGTGAAGGCGCCGCTGCTGATGCCGCTGCTGCCGGTGCTGGTGATGCCGCTGCTGCTGCCGCCGCCGATGCTGCTGCTGCTGCCGCCGCCGATGCTGCTGCTGCTGCCGCCGCTGCTGCCGCCGCTGCTGCCGCTGCCGGTGTTGCTGCTGGAGCCGCCACTGGAGCCGCTGCTGCTGCCGCTGCTGCTGCCGCCGTCGATGCCGGTGCTGGTGCCGCCGCTGCTGCTGCTGCTGGTGCCGTTAAGGGTGGAGTAGGGGGAGGAGGAAGGGGGGGGGAAGAGAGGCTGGTGCGGAAGTGTGGGGAGGGGCGCGGGTGTGGGGCAGGATAGGGGGAGGAGGGAGGATTAGGGTTGCGGGGTCGTGGAGGTCGCGGGCAGCCGAACGCGACGGCGCGCAGGTCAGCCGCGGCTCCGCGCCAGCCGTCCGCGTCGGCGCAGGGTCGTCGGCGGCCGCGCGCTGGCCGTCCGCGTCGGCGCGCGGTTCGTTCGTGGCCGCGCGCTGGCCGTCCGCGTCAGCGCGCGGCTCGTCGGCGGTCGCGCGCTGGCCGTCCGCGTCAGCGCGTGGGTCGTCGGCGGTCACTCGCTGGCTGGCCGCGTCGGCGCGCAGGTCGCTGGCGACAGCGCGCTGACCGTCCGCGGCGGCGCGCAGGTCGTCCGCGGCGGCGCGCAGGTCGTCCGCGTCGGCGCGCTGCTCGGTAGCGTCGCCGCGCAGGTCGTCCGCGGCGCCGCGCTGGTCGTCCGCGCCGGCGCGCAGGTCGGTCGCGTCGGCGGGCAGGTTGAGGCGTGGCGACGGGGGGGAGGGTTGCTGCCACGGGGGAGCGGTTTGAGGCCGCGTAAGGACGGTTTGAGACCGTGAGAGGGAGAATTGAGGGCGCGGGAGGGAGGATTGAGGCCGCGGGAGGGAGGATAGAGGCCGCGGGAGGGAGGATAGAGGCCGCGGGAGGGAGGATTGAGGCCGCGGAGGAGGAGATCTAGGCCGCGGAAGGCTACATCTGAGGTGCGGGTGGACCGATGTAGGCCATAGTCCGCTAGGGTAAAGGAGCGGAGAGTAAATTGCAGTCTAAGGATCGAGGGAAGGTGGCGTGAGCCATTTGGCTCTGAATACCATGTTAGAATTCAAGAATGATTGAGTAATGAGCCAAGGAGGCTCTATAGTACAAGCATGCAAGGAAGAGAGGAGTGGAGGAGGAGCTAACCCTATTGGCCACTAAGTTGGCCAAAGGGTGAGGTGCCTTGTGGAGTAGGAAACCCCACAATGTAGATAGGATGTGATTGGTTGGTGTTAGGACCAAAAGTTGACAAGTGCCAACCAAGGACCAAGACCAAATCCAATCTTGACCAACCACCAAGTGTGGTTGGAGTGTACACCCACCCCCCCAAGAACATAAGGCACCTATTCTAGCCTATGAATGTTGTATATAATGTACATTTACAACACATTAAGTCTCTCTGTGCAAGTTATTGCAGGATTTCAATTAAGCGCGGCCGTGCATGTGTGCATGTTGCATGTGTGCTTGTGTGCTCGCACGTGTGAGTGCAGATGGAGGATGCAATCGTCAATGGATGGCTCTTCTTTCGTTATCTAGTCATTGGAAGTGAGTGCCTCCTCTATTCACTCATTCATACATGCCTCTTGTTTCTTCACGTTCTGCCTTTGTGTGGTGATACAGATGCTTCGCCAATGGCCCCAAAATGTGTTTTGAGTCAACCCAAAGCACTCTTGCTCCCCCTCCACACATCCCACTCCCCTTTCCCACCCTTTTCTTCCCAGTCTACGTAGGGCTGGTGACAGTGGCTGCGTTTGTGTGGTGGTACATGTGGTTCGCCGATGGTCCCAAGATCACCTGGACCCAACTGGTGCGTCTATCCACTTTATTGTTGCATACCCTGATTTGACCGAGGGGCGCTCCAGGTTACCCAACTAATCTGACTGAGGGGCGCTCCAGGTTACCCAACTAATCTGACTGAGGGGCGCTCCAGGTTACCCAACTAATCTGACTGAGGGGCGCTCCAGGTTACCCAGCTAATTTTCGAACCCCCATGATCCATTTTTCCACTTGTTCCACCTCACCTTCGTGTGTTCCCCTTTCCTTGTTGACCCATGGCAATCCATGGGGCGTGCATGGCTGCATCTGCTGGCCCCTGATGCATCTGCTTCTAGGTCATGACATGCTGTTAGTTTTCATCTTCCCACCCTGTCTCCACCCCCCTCTCCACCTCCAATATGTCCACGCAGGTCACCTTTGACACGTGTGTGGATGCGTCTGGTCGCCCCTGCGCCGTGTTTTTGGACCCTCGTCCTCGTACTGTCGCCATGTCGGTGCTAGTGGTGGTCGAGATGTTCAACGCCCTCAACAACCTCTCCGAGAACCAGAGCCTGCTGTGAGTTGCTCTGCTCTGCAGCATCCTGCCGCTTGCTGCCATCACTCACTCGCGCCACTCTGGCAATGCTCTGCGCCACTCTGGCAATGCTCTGCGCCACTCTGGCAATGCTCTGCGCCACTCTGGCAATGCTCTGCGCCACTCTGGCAATGCTCTGCGCCACTCTGGCAATGCTCTGCTCTGCACCACCCCCCTCCCAACTCCCCCCCCTGCAGCATCTCTCCCCCCTGGTCCAACCTCTGGTTGCTCGCAGCCATCACTCTCCCCACCCTCTTCAGGCTTCTTCCCTCTGCTAATCTTGCTACGTCATCCCCCTCCCTCCCAACTCTCCCTTCTCTGCAGCGTCCTGCCGCCCTGGTCCAACCTCTGGCTGCTGGCAGCCATCACTCTCTCCATGATCCTCCACTTCCTCATCCTCTATGTTCCAGCCCTCGCTGTGCTCTTCTCTGTGAGTGCTTCCAGTCCCCTGCAACATGTGCCCTCACCAATCTCTCCTGGTCCAACCTCTGGCTGCTGGCAGCCATCACCCTCTCCATGATCCTCCACTTCCTCATCCTCTACGTCCCAGCCCTCGCTGTCCTCTCCTCTGTGAGTCCTTTCACGCTTCTTGATATTAAAGACATCTCAGACGTCACTTCCCCATCCCTCGCATCTGGACCCCCTAACATGTGCTATCCCTAACATGAGCGTCCCATCCCTCTCGGTGAGCTCTCTCAGGACCCCAAACACCTGCCCTCGCTCTGCTCTCTTCTTTCACCGTTCTTTCCTGCCCTGCCTCCACCTTTCTGTTCATCATTCTTCTCTTCGCTCCTCTTCTCCGTCTTCTTGCTCTCTCCACTATGTCAGGTCGGCCCTTTATCCTGGCCTGAGTGGCAGGGAGTGCTGCTCTTCTCCTTCCCTGTACGCCATTCTTTCACCTCCATACCCCTCGCCCTCTTTGCCCTCACGCCCTGCCCCATGCCCTCTCCTCATGCCCTTCCCTGTTTCATGCGCTGTTGCATACTTTCTCCAATGCTGGGCCTTACCCTCTCCCCATGCTCTGCCCTCCCCCATGTTCTGTTTTCCTACCCTGTCTTCATGCCCAGCCCTCCCCCATGCTCTGTCCCCTACCCTGACCCACGCCATGCCCTCTCCTCATGCCCTGTCCACACCTGTGTTCGTCCCCATGCCAGGTCATCAGTGTGGACGAGATTCTCAAGGTCCCTTACCCTGTCTATCCTCGTGCCCTACCCTCCCCCGTGTTCTGTTCACTGCTCTTTCCTCATGCCAGGTCATCATTGTGGACGAGATTCTCAAGGTCCCTTACCCTGTCTATCCTCGTGCCCTACCCTCCCCCGTGTTCTGTTCACTGCTCTTTCCTCATGCCAGGTCATCATTGTGGACGAGATTCTCAAGGTCTTTGCAAGAAACATGTCAGGTGTGGCTTCAGGTGTGGTATCAAGTACAAGAGTGTTCCGCTGTGTAGAGCAATCTTAAGGCATGACTCATGGCCTTGCTGGATACACTCGCACAGCATCGACGCATTTGCAACTCTCCAGAGTTCAACCGCACAGCGCATCGCTTTCGCCTCCGACCACTGCTGCTTGCACTAGAGTGAATTCACGTACCATGAAGTAAATTCAAGATCCAGCTTTCCTTCCCTCCCTGCTGTATCCCTTGCCTTGAATCAGCCCATCCTGCCAAGGCCAAGACATCGCGGCCACAATGGTCCCTGCTGCCGTTCAGGCGGCCAAAGGAAGAGTCAGGAGAGAACCACACAGCCTGATGCAGGCTCATGCACATCTGGGATCTACTGCCAATGCTCGAGTTCTGAGACGTTTCTCAAATTTAATGTTTTGAACCTCCCAAGACTGTCCCACCCAGGAGTTCGTTTTATGAATTCTAAAAGAACTCTCAGCTTAGAAGGAAGGACCTGTTAAGCATCTAATGTCAACCGTTGTGTGAGCATCTGTCACATCGCCTCATCTATCTCATGATTGTTTCATGGCTTTCCATGGCATTGACCAGGTGCATGGCATGCTCTTCGGGAGAGGGTTACTGTATGAAGTGCTGCCTTGGGTAAAAATCCGCAAAACGAATCCTCCATCCTTGACATACAGCAGTTCGCTACAAGACTGCACTTTCATCCTGTACTGATATAGAATCGAGCCTTCCCTGACTGTACTTCCAAGTTCTCGCAATATTACTTGCTACATGTGTGGACCTCAATTGTTAACAAATTTTAAATCTCCACTCCACATCGCTGCTCCATCAGAATTCATTCAGCCAATACAAGCAGCCATGGCCAACGACAACACCTTCAGGAAGGTTAAGCTTCACGAACGCACTGAAATCGACCCAGCTGTCGCAGCAGCCCATGAAAGTGCATGTCTTGTTGCAACTGTCCCATGCAGTGCAGATGCAATACTTGACCCCCCTCTACTCCTCCTCCTACACCACCCTCTCTTGCACATGATCCAACTCTAACCCCTTTCACCCGCTCCCACCCTCCCCTCTCCTTCTCCCTGCCCCTTCTCTCCGACGCCCCTCTACCCAATGGAAGCATCAGCAAGAGCAGCAGAGGAGCACACGCCGCCAGCAACAGCCAGAGGCACACCCTTGTAGCACGCCACCCTCTCTCCGTTGGTACGCAGATCCACCTGCACCGCTTCCCACACCTTCTTCTTCGGGTTCAGCTGCGCGTCTGGTTCCCCGGGGTAGTCGGGACACGTGATCCGATCACCGGGTGCTGCCCCTTCCGGAGGGTTAATAAGCTCCACCTGATGTAAAATAAAATGAATAAATAAAAGTGGCCATTTGAGAGAGGGGAACACAGGGGGGGTAGGCAGGGAACAAGATTTGATCGCTGGGTGATTTAGCCTCGGGTGGATTGACATGATGCACTTGAAGAGTGGGAGTGAGTAAAGGGAGGAGGAAAGGCGTGAGGTCGAGAGGGGGGGAGGGAAGGTGAAGGGAAGAGTAGAACTGCATTGACCCACAGTTGACCTGCATTGACCCACAGTTGACCTGCATTGACCCACAGTTGACCTGCATTGACCCACAGTTGACCTGCATTGACCCACGGCTGAGCCACAACTGAAGCACAGAAGATGCATCTACCACCCACCGGAGTGTGGTTGACATAAGAAGCAGCAAGACCCAAGCCCCTCGTAGTTGCACATGTGTGATGTGCCTGGAGGAGGACCCAACTGCCCCAGCATCAAACTGCCCTATACCACCCACCTGCCCATCACCCACTTCCCCCATCACCCACTTCCCCCATCACCCACCTGAGTGTGGTCGGCATTAGAGGCAGCGAGCACCATGGCATGGCTCTTGACGCCCCTCATGGCTGCAGGCTTGAGGTTGCACAACACACACACCAGCCGATCCTGCATATATGCGTGGAAGGACACACGGGGAGAAGGAGGGCCGAGACGAAGACAGAATGTCACTTCTAGAATGGAAGGGGGACGAGCGAGCTCAACGACCCATGGCCCATAAATAGGGCCTTGCATGATACACCCGAACAGATCGTTTTTACCCACAGAGGATCCACTGTACATAACCCCCCCCCCCGCTCACCAGCATCTGCTTGATCAGCACGAAAATCACAAGTCCAATAACAACAGTCCTGTTTTGAGTCGACTCAAAACACGACTCATCTCACAAGTCCAATAACAACAGTTCGTTTCTCATCGCACACAACCCATCCATTCCTCACCTGCATCTGTTCGATCGGCACAAACTTCACCAGCCCGCTGACAACAGCGCGCGGCCCCTCTGCTTCCCCCAGGTCAATCTTTCTCACTCCCAACACACAGTACCGTTTTCCACCAAATTCATCCATCCTGCACTCCATGCAACATTCCTCACCTGCATCTGTTCAATCGGCACAAACTTCACCAGTCCGCTGACAACGGTTTTTGAGGCGCCTCAAAAGTCCACGGACAACGGTGCGCGGCCCCTCGGCTTCACCCAGGTCGATCTGCTCCACATACAGCGAGTCCGCGTCTGGGTGCTTTCTCACTCTCACCACACAGCACCACTTTCCACCACATTACACCACCCTGCACTCTCACCTGCATCTGCTCGATGGGAACAAACTTCACGAGTCCACTGACAACGGTGCGAGGCCCCTCTGCTTCACCCAGGTCGATCTGCTCCACATACAGCGAGTCCGCGTCTGGGTGCCTCTGGACCTTCACCACACAATACCGTTTTCCACCGCATTACACCAGAATGAACCCCAAACCAAACAACCCCCGTTTACTCCCCTTTGTATTAATACGTTGATTGGTACAAACAAGAAGGTCAACGGAGAGCAAGAAGGTTTACTCACCTGCATCTGTTCGATCGGCACGAACTTCACGAGTCCACGGACAACGGTGCGCAACCCCTCGGCTTCACCCAGGTCGATCTGCTCCACATACAGCGAGTCCGCGCCTGGGTGCTTTCTCACTCTCACCACACAGCACCACTTTCCACCGCATTACACCACCCTGCACTCTCACCTGCATCTGCTCAATGGGAACAACCTTGACCAGCCCACTGACAACGGTGCGAGGCCCCTCTACTTCACCCAGGTCGATCTGCTCCACATACAGCGAGTCCGCGTCTGGGTGCTTCTGCTCTGCCCCTTCACACGACTTACACCTGTCCCTCTGTCAACATTCATCCGTGACCAATCAAAACCCCATTCCACCGCATGCCAATCCCTTGTTCTCACCCCGCGAAGCCCCTTCTTATCACAATCCCTCACCTGCATCTGCTCGATTGGTACGAATTTGACAAGGCCACTGACAACGGTGCGAGGCCCCTCTGCTTCCCCTAGGTCAATCTGCTCCACATACAGCGAATCGGCGTCTGGGTGCTTGTCCACCTTCACTATCCGCCCCACTCTCAGGTCCAACCGAGACACATCCACTACTGCGCTCTCTGCTGCTCCTCCTCCTGCTTTCCCTCCTCCGGATTTCCCCTTCTCTCCCTTCTCCCCTTTCTCTCCCTTCTCCCCCTTGCCCTTTTTCTCTTTCTTATCAGCTGCACCATCTGCCGCCCCGTCTCCCTTCTCTCCCTTCTCCCCCTTCTCCTTGCCTTCCCCTTTCTGTTTCGCCACACCATCAGCCCCACCACCACCACCACCACCTTTACCCTTCCCCTTTCCACCACCAGCACCTCCCTTAGCACCCCCAGCACCAGCGGCACCAGCAGCAGAACCACCAGAAGCACCAGCGGCGGCGGCAGCAGCAGTGCGATCAGCCTGGCTCCCGGCAAACCTATTTCTAAAAGCGTCCACCTCGTCGTCCTTCATCTCTCGGAAGATGGGCTCCACGGCACCGATGGCATGCCCAGCCGCCACCACCCCCCACGGCTGGCCGGCCGCTGCGGCTGCAGTGTCGGTGAGAGAGAGGGATGAGGTGGGCAGATTCAGCTGCGCCAACACCTGCGGATGAGGAGGAGGATGGGATGGGGTCGAGCAGAGGACAAAGAAGGAGAGTGGAGTGTGAATGGGAAAAGGAGGGTATGAAAAGGAGCAGCAGCGTGGCCAGCAGATGCACCACCCCCACTGCCAACCGCATCACCACAGCGCACCGTGCCTTATCCTCCTTATAGCCCCCAGGCCCCAGCACGCAACCTACCACCCCAAACAAAATACCATCCCCGCCACTCACGTCAGGAGAAGGCCTCTTAACCAGCAGCACACAAGCCTCCCCTCACTTTACACCACCTTGCATCAAGAGACTCACCTTTTCTGAGAAGGAGGGCATGAAGGGGTGCAGCAGCGTGGCCAACAGATGCACCACGCCACCCCCACCGCGGACCGCATCACCACAGCTTGAAGCAGCAGTCACCAAGCCTCTCAACGAACAGCAACACCTCATACCACAGGACCCACCTTTTCTGAGAAGGAGGGCATAAAGGGATGCAGCAGCGTCGCCAGCAGATGCACCAGCCACCCACCTTGTCTGAGAATGACGGCATGAAGGGATGCAGCAGCGTGGCGAGCAAATGCACCACCCCCACCGCGGACCGCATCACCACAGCGCAGCGCGGCTTATCCTCCTTATAGAGCTTCCAGAACTTGGAATCCTGCAGGTACAGGTTCCCCGCGCTGCTGACCGCCATGGCCGTTTTAAGCGCCGCTTTTAGCTTCACTTTCTCCATATTGTCAATGTATTCCTTAACTAAGTCTCCAACTGTCTGCCCGAACTTGGCTGTCAGGTCGTCCTCCTCTGCTCCCGGAGCTTCTGGTACGATGGATGCGAAGCCTTCGCCTGGAAAGATTTTGAATCAGAGGGGGCAAGATGGGGGCGGGGAAGGAGGGAGGAGGGGAGCACGGAGAGAGAGCCATGAGACACGCTTCTCTGCTCGAACTTGGCTGTCAAGTTCGAGCAGCCAAGTTCGTCCTGCTCGTCCTGCTCTCTGCTCGAACTCTGCTCGTCCTGCTCTCTGCTCGAACTCTGCTCGTCCTGCTCTCTGCTCGAACTCTGCTCGTCCTGCTCTCTGCTCGAACTCTGCTCGTCCTGCTCTCTGCTCGAACTCTGCTCGTCCTGCTCTCTGCTCGAACTCTGCTCGTCCTGCTCTCTGCTCGAACTCTGCTCGTCCTGCTCTCTGCTCGAACTCTGCTCGTCCTGCTCTCTGCTCGAACTCTGCTCGTCCTGCTCTGTGCCTGGCGCTTCTGGGACGAGGGAAGCAAAGCCCTCGCCTGGAAAGCGGATAGTTGGCAGGTGTGCAAAGGAGGATACTGAACAATCATACGCCGGCATGTTACAACATATATGCACTGTATGTTCCGTCTGTATGCTCTGTCCAAACTTGGTTGTGAGCTTCAACTGACAAAGTTTCCACGGGCTTGAGTCACTAGTTCGCACTTTCAAGCTCGAGTCACCTTCTGATTTGGCGAGTAAAGCCAGGGAGCGGTTGACTTACTTTTGAGACGTCTCAAAGGTTGACTCAATTCACAAATTTATTGAGCAGGGCAGAGCAGCTTGCTGTTTAGTCAACTCAAAACCAGTAACTCACCTTCGGGCTTGGCGAGGAACGCGAGCGTGCGGTTGATGAAGTTCCCGAGGTTCTTGAGCAGCTCGTTGTTCTGCTTCGCCTGCAGATCCGCCCATGTGAACACCGTGTCCGACACCTGGATGAAAAAGAAAAGGGGGAGAGAGAAAGGGAAAGGCGGGTGAGACGAGGAGGCACATGAGAAGCGAAAGGGGTGGATAGGCGGGCATTTAGGTTTGAAGGCTCTTGAGCAACTAGTTGTTCTGCTTCGCCTGCAGATCTGCCCAGGTGAACACCGTGTCCGATACCTGTGTGTCGGAGAGCCAGGGAAAGGGGGAAGACGTGGGGAGCAAGGGAAAGGGGGAAGAGGTGGGCAGCAAGAGGAAAGGCGGGTGAAAACAGGAGGCATATGAGAAGGGAAAGGAATGGGCGGGCGGGTGGGTTCTTAACCAGCTTGTTGTTCTGCTTCGCCTGCAGGTCCGCCCATGTGAACACCGTGTTCCATACCTGTGTGTCGGAGAGCCAGTGAAAGGGGGAAGAGGTGGGCAGCAAGGGAAAGGCGGGTGAAAACAGGAGGCATATGAGAAGGGAAAGGAATGGTTGGATGGGTGGGTTCTTGAGCAGCTTGTTGTTCTGCTTCGCCTGCAGGTCCGCCCATGTGGACAGTGTTTTGAGACGTCTCAAAAAGTGTTTTGTGATTGAAGAAGTGTTTTGAGACGTCTCAAAAAGTGTTTTGTGATTGAAGAAGTGTTTTGAGACGTCCCAAAAAGTGTTTTGTGATTGAATAAGTGTTTTGAGACGTCTCAAAAAGTGTTTTGTGATTGAAGAAGTGTTTTGAGACGTCTCAAAAAGTGTTTTGTGATTAAAGAAGTGTTTTGAGACGTCCCAAAAAGTGTTTTGTGATTGAAGAAGTGTTTTGAGACGTCTCAAAAAGTGTTTTGTGATTAAAGAAGTGTTTTGAGACGTCCCAAAAAGTGTTTTGTGATTGAAGAAGTGTTTTGAGACGTCTCAAAAAGTGTTTTGTGATTGAAGAAGTGCTTTGAGACGTCTCAAAAGTGTTTTGAGACGTCCCAAAAAGTGTTTTGTGATTGAAGAAGTGTTTTGAGACGTCTCAAAAAGTGTTTTGTGATTGAAGAAGTGCTTTGAGACGTCTCAAAAAGTGTTTTGTGATTAAAGAAGTGTTTTGAGACGTCCCAAAAAGTGTTTTGTGATTGAAGAAGTGTTTTGAGACGTCTCAAAAAGTGTTTTGTGATTGAAGAAGTGTTTTGAGACGTCTCAAAACGCTTCTTCAAACGCCTGCAGGTCCGCCCATGTGGACACCGTGTCGGATACCTGCGTGTTGAGAGGAGGGGGAGAGGGACAAAAGGAGGAGGAGGAAGGAAGAGGGATGGAAAGGGAAACTTCATGGAGAAGAAGAGAAAAGGTGCTTTCTGCCATGCATGCTGGTTCTGGAACATCTCCACAAGAAACCCCATGTTCAGTGGGCATCGCTGCCAAACACCCCCCGTGCCCCCTTCAAGCACACGCACCACCACACCCTGCCTTGTGTTCACTGAGACCATGCCTCGGGCCTGTTCGTGAGCAGGTAGTAGCGCCACACCTCCACGGGGATGCGCGTTGTTGCCAAACACGCCCACGCCCACCCATGCATCATCAATTTCACTGACTGAGACCATACCTCGGGTCTGTTCGTGAGCAGGTAGTAGCGCCACACCTCCACGGGAATGCCCGTGTCCTGCGCATCGTTCCCAGACACGCCCACACACACACCCAAGCACCTCTGTTTCTCCATTCCTTACACCAAAACCACTGTCAACCCCTCACCTCAGGCCGATTTGTCAGCAGGTAGTAGCGCCACACCTCCACAGGGATCCCCGTGTCTTGAGCATCGTTCCCAAACACGCCCACGCCACGGCTCTTGCTAAACTTGCCCCCCTCGTAGTTGAGGTACTCTGTCACACTGATGGTGCGCATGAGTGTCCATGGCTCTTTTGTCCCGAGCAATGTGCACGGGAAGATGACCTGTGAGTGGATGGCAAGGGAGGGACGGAAAAAGGAGGATGGGAGGGGCAAGAGGGCTCTTGCTGAACTTGCCCCCCTCGTAGTTGAGGTACTCTGTGACGCTGATGTTGCGCATGAGCCGTCCAGGGCTCTTTTGTTCCGAGAAGGGTACAGGGGAAGATGACCTGAGGGGGAATGGAAGGGATGGAAGGAAAGAGAGGGAAGGAGAGGGAGGGATGGGAGGGATGGGAGGGAAAAGAAAGGCTCTTGCTGAGCTTGCCCCCCCTCGTAGTTGAGGTACTCTGTGACGCTGATGGTGCGCATGAGCCGTCCAGGGCTCCTTCGTTCCCAGCAGGGTACAGGGGAAGATGACCTGAGCGTGTGGAGGCAAGGAGGGAGGGAAAGGGAGAGAAGGAAATGAAGGGGTGGGAGAGGTGGGAACCCAGCAGGGTGCAGGGGAAGATGACCTGAGCGTGTGGAGGGAAGGAGGGAGGGAAAGGGAGAGAAGGAAATGAAGGGGTGGGAGGGAAAAAAACGGCTATTGCTGAACTTTCCCCCCTCGTATCGTAGTTGAGGTACTCTGTGACGCTGATGGTGCGCATGAGCGTCCATGGCTCTTTGGTTCCGAGCAGCGTGCAGGAGAAGTTGTTTTGAGATGCCTCAAAACACGGAAAGTTGACCCAAATGGGACGAAAATGAAGGGAAGGAAAGGGAGGATGGGAGGGGCAAGAAAGGTTGTTATGGTGTGGAGGGGTACTCACAATGTGTGAAAGCACCTAGCCTAGACTCCCCATGGATGTATTTGACTCATCTTTACAACACACTGTGTGAAAGGGCACGTTGTCCTTGCCCGTGAACTGCACCAGCTCCACCTCCTGGGGGTTCTTCCACCACCATGTGTGTACACGTGTATGAAGATTTATTTTGAGACGTCTCAAAATAGTTCGTCCACCACCATGTGTGTACACGTGTATGAAGATTTATTTTGAGACGTCTCAAAATAGCTCTTCCACCACCATGTGTGTACACGTGTATGAAGATTTATTTTGAGACGTCTCAAAATAGTTCTTCCACCACCATGTGTGTACACGTGTATGAAGATTTATTTTGAGACGTCTCAAAATAGTTCTTCCACCACCATGTGTGTACACTGTACAGACACACCCACTTGGTGCCATGTGGAAGGGTGCTGCATACTGTGTGCGTGGAATCCCCCTACTCACTGGATGAAAGGGCACGTTGTCCTTGCCCATGAACTGCACCAGCTCCACCTCCTCAAAGTTCTTCCACCACCGTGTGCATGCATAGACACGCGCAGACATGGTGCCCAAAGCACGTGTTCATGTGCACCTGTTGAGAGTTCTCACCGTGTGAAAGGGCACGTTGTCCTTGCCCATGAACTGCACCAGCTCCACCTCCTCAGGGTTCTTCCACCACCGCTCCCACTGCTCCGTGTAGTTGGCTGTTATGCTGATGTAGCCTATGGGGGCGTCGAACCACACGTAGAACACCTGGTGGGGAGGGAGAGGAGAGCGGAACAGAAGGAGAAATGGGTTTAAGCCCGCAGGGCGGGGGGGATGAGGAGGAGGAGGGGGTTGTGAGGAGGCGGGGGTTGTGAGGAGGCGGGGGGTTGACATGGGGTTGTGCCAGGGGGGGTCGAGTTTTGAGTCGACTCAAAACTCGACTCATTACACGAGGGGGTTGTGAGGAGGAGGGGGTTGTGAGGAGGAGGGGGTTGTGAGGAGGCGGGGGTTGTGAGGAGGAGGGGGTTGTGAGGAGGAGGGGGTTGTGAGGAGGAGGGGGTTATGAGGAGGCGGGGGTTGTGAGGAGGAGGGGGGTTGACATGGGGGTGTGCCAGGGGGAAACACTTTTGAGAAATCCCAAAAGGAGAAGGTGAGATGAGGTGGGGGTGTGTAAAGGGGAAAGCAAGTACTGCGCCGTGTAGTTGGCCATTACGCTGATACACCTATGGATGGGGGTGTCAAACCCGTGACTCACTTTGTCCTTGTATTTGTCAAGAGGCACGGGCACGCCCCACTTCAAATCCCCCGTGATACACCTGGGCTTTAACCCGTCTCTGATACACGCGTCGGTCATCTGGATCGAGTTAGCACTCCTACCCAACTCGCTTTCCCCCTTACCCACTCTCCCCCCTTCCCCACCCACACCCACACACTAGCACACACGCTCACACACATAATCACTCACCTTATCCTTGTATTTATCAAGAGGAACAGGCACGCCCCACTTCAGGTCTCTCGTAATACACCTGGGCTTTAACCCATCCCTGATCCACGCGTTGGTCGTCTGGATTGAGTTGGCGCTCCACCCGCCCGCTGCTGACGTGTCGCTCACGTACGCCTCCAGCTCAGCTTTGAGCTCGGGCAGATCCAAAAACAGGTGCTCCGTGTTGCGGATCTCCGGGCGGCTGTGGCACATCTGATTTGGTTCAATTCAGGACAGAGAAGGTGGGGGACAAAAAGGGTGGGGGAAGGGGGGATGCGGCAGCAAGGGAGGTGCAACTGAGATTGAGCAATGGCCAGAAATGCAAGAGATTCAAATGACATGCAATGTGGTACCAAGTGGTGCATTACAATGGCATCGCATGCAGAAAGATCACACGCGGGCGCGGCTCACATGGCATCTTGGGTTGATGAGGTCAGCAGCGTTGAGCAGCTTCCCACAGCGGTCGCACTGGTCCCCTCTGGCGTCCTCGTAGGCACACCCCGGCGTGGGGCACGTGCCCTCCACAAATCGATCTGCCAGGAAGCGAGAGCACACCACACAGTAGGGCTGGGGGAGGGGGGAGGGAGCACAACACACACATACACACACACAGAGGGGAGCAAGGGAGGAAGAGAGGGTCGCACTGGTCCCCTCTGGCGTCCTCGTATGCACACCCGAGCGTGAGGCACGTGCCCTCCACAAACCGATCTGCCAGGAAGCAAGAGCACACCACACAGTAGGGCTGGGGGAGGAGGGTGTGGGGGGTAAGGGATTGGGGGGGATTGATTGGGGGGGATTGATTGGGGAGGATTGATTGGGGAGGATTGATTGGGGAGGATTGATTGGGGAGGATTGATTGGGGAGGATTGATTGGGGAGGATTGATTGGGGAGGATTGATTGGGGAGGATTGATTGGGGAGGATTGATTGGGGAGGATTGATTGGGGAGGATTGATTGGGGAGGATTGATTGGGGAGGATTGATTGGGGAGGAGAAGAAGAGTAGAGATTGGGAGGGCTGGGAGGAGGGCGGGAGAAAGTTGGGAAGGAGGAGGGAAAGAGGGAATTGCAGATTGGGGAAAGGAGGAAACATGAGGGCTCCCATCATCTTCAGGAAATAGAGTAGGCTTTATGATTCCTGATATTCTTCCTGCCGATCTCATCATAGTCCCACCTGGCTGATCGTATCTTCCTTCAGCCTCTTCTGCTCGTGAATCGATTTAAAGATCGACTGGCAGATCTTGGTCTGCTGCGGCGTGGAGGTCCGGCCGAACTTGTCGCAAGAAATCCCGAACCACTCATAGATGCTGCGGTGGATGGCATGGTACTTGTCGCAGATCTGCCTCGGCGTGACCCCCTCCTCCATGGCCTTGGTCTCGGTGGCGGTGCCGTACTCGTCGGTGCCGCACATGAAGATCACATTGTACCCCCGCAGCCGGCAGTACCGCGCAAACACGTCCGCACTCAGCACACCTGGGGGGGGAGGAAAGGGGGCGGAGCAGGGGCGGAGAAGGGGCGGAGCAGGGGGGGAGCAGGGGCGGAGCAGCGGAGGAGCAGGGGGGAAAGAGCGCGGTCTTGAATGCAGCAGGTGTGGGCGCGTGTGGGAGTGACGCCCTCCTCCATGGCCCTGGTCTCGGTGGCGGTGCCGTACTCGTCGGTGCCGCACATGAAGATCACGTTGAACCCCCGCAGCCGGCAGTACCGCGCAAACACGTCCGCACTCAGCACACCTGGGGCGGGGGAGGAGGGTGTTGGCAGGGGGTTGGGAGGGGAGGGGGAGGGGGGCAGGAGAGCAGGGTGGTGGGTGGTGTGGCCGTGCAAGTTGCTACAGCAGTACCGCGCAAACGAGTCAGCGCTCGGCACACCTGGGGGGGATTTGGGGAGCGTAGGGTGGGGGGGGTGCATACAATGCATCACAATGCATGCACATACCCGCATGCTTGAAGATCTTCAAGTAGAGAATCAGTAGGTTCATCACCAACCAACCACACTCCCATGGCTCCTACTCTCAAAAGGTCTTCTACTCACATCCGATGACGTTCCCAAGATGTGTCGAAAGTGTATTTTCGAGACGTCTTAAAAATACAATCTCTACGCGTGGCGAATCAATAAGTTCATTACCAACCACACTCCTGTGGCTTCCACTCTCAAAAGGTCTTCTACTCACATCCAATGACATTCCCAAGATGCAGGATGTTGTTCACGTACGGCAGCGCACTCGTCACCATCACATTCCGCTTTTGAGTCGACTCAAAATTCAGCTCCATTCTACCATTCTCAAGAGGCTTTCTACTCACATCCGATGATGTTCCCAAGGTGCGGGACGTTGTTCACGTACGGCAGCGCACTTGTCACCATCACATTCCGCTTGCCCGGCTCGGGCAGCTTCACAACACTTCTTTCAGCCTGCCCGGGCGCAGCGGCCATCTGAGAAGCGAACTGGGCAGCAGCAGACTGAAGAAAAGCTTCGGACGGAGCAGAGGCGAGAGCAGCAGCTACAGCCGCCTTGAAGCGAGCATCGCTCTCCCATGACCTTGATGCATGGGGAAGCAAAGTGGACCATTCGAGGGAAATGGAGGGGGGACGACATATGAGCAGCAGCTGAATGAACGAAGGCGTCTGGGGGAGCAGAGGCGAGAGCAGTATCTACATACAGCCGCCTTGAAGCGAGCATCGCTCTCCCATGACCTTGATCAGGGGAAGACAAATGGGAATAGAAGAATGAAGGGGAAGGAAACGGGACAGGGAAAGGACAGGGACAAGAGGCGAAATAAGAAGCTTTTGAGAGGTCCGAAATGCGAAATGAGGAGCATAGCTGAGCCGAAAGCAGCAGCTGGGGCAGTCAGCAAACGAGGGGCACGCCCTTATGACCTTTCCACATGAGGACATGGAAGAGAACAGAGTGAGAGAGGAGGGGTGGAGGGAAGGGGTGGGGATGGGAAAAGGACAGGGGCAGAGAGGGGAGTGAGCAGTTGATTTAGCATAGGAAGCAGCTACAGCAGAGATAAAATGAGTTGAATGAGAGAAACAGGAGTCACCGCCTTATTGTTCCCTTCTTGCTAAGAAGAACGTGGACGGGAATTGGAGAGGAGGAGAGGCGAAGGTAAGGGATGGTGAAAAGGGCCTTCTGTCGTAGAATTGGAACATGCAATGAAACAGAATTTTATAATGAGTTTTTCAAACAAAAACGACACCTTACCTTCTCATCATACGTGCATTGTACAAACGAGGTGCTAGTTAAAAAGCCCCCCCCATACCTGAACCACTTTTGAGGCGCCTCAAAGTAAACGAGGTGTTAGTTAAAAAGTCCCTCAAAAGGCCCCCCATACCTGAACCACTTGGCCAAAGGCGACTCAGAGTCAGATGAAAGCTTGCCGCCCGGGCCAAACAACAGCAGCAGATCACTCCACACGGCAAGGTCCACGAGAGACAAATCTATGCCGCCCAGAAGGTGCTTGGGGTTGGCGGCAAGCGCCTGATAGAGGCGGTCGGAAGCGTCTTTTGTGAGCTCTTGGATGTGGCCTGCTGCTGCTGCAAGCACCTGCGGCTGCAGTACAGTCACCTCCCAATACAGCCACTCCTCCGCACCTGCACATGTGCAAAATAAGCAATCCAGAAGTTGAAATTACTTTAAGTCAGCTCAAACCGATACAATCACCTCTCAATACAGCCATACCTCAGCATCTGCGCAATGCACAAGCAGCCAAGCTCACATGGTGAGAACCAATTGAACGTGACAATAGCAGGTGTCACGCGAACCAGTGATGGGAGGAAAGGGGATTGCCACATTCGAAGCGCCTGGAAAAGCTAAAAACTCCCCGTTAACCCCTGAACCCTGAATGATTCATTGAGAACAAACGCGCGGCACGCGCCCCCCCCCCCGCGCACGACACATCCGCACACACGCGCGCGGGCGCATGACACCCATCCCCCCCCCCACGCGAGCACGTCAAAGGCACACACGCACGGGGGGGGAGCGCGCGCGTGCAAACGCGCTGCAGAGCGTGGTTTTTATGGAAGCTTCCGTGTTCCAGATGCGGCGATCTCAGCACCAGAAACGGAATAAAAAGATGTATCATGTATGGCAAGTGGGTTCGTGATTCGCTGAAGAACTAGAGGGAGGGAAGGCATGCGAAGGCTGGGTGGGCATGCAAAGGCTGAATGAAACGGACCACGGGAGAGCGGGGAAATGCACGATAAACGCGCCGAGGCGACGGATCAAAATGGGCGACAAATGCGACGAGGCGGCGGACCAGAAAAAAGCGACGGATGCGACGAGGCGACGGACCAAATGACCGACGGATGCGATGAGGGAACGGATCCAACTTTGCGACGAGGGAGGTGTTGTTGCAGGAAAAGGGAAACGAGATGAACGGGAAACGGAGGAGGCTCGAGGGAGGAGATTCGTACTAATGGCCTCCACGGAGCTGTCGGCTGGGAGTAGCGACGCCCCTGCTCCGCTCTCCGCGGCAATGAATCGCGCGGCAGCGACAGCATCGTACAGTCGCACGCCGTTCGGTCCCGTCAAGCACGGCGCGGCGCCGAAAACTGGATCATCGCGCGGCCCCGTAGATTGGCGGCCCGAAGCGGCGGCGGGAGGGGAAGGGGTGGCGATCGGGACTACGATACCCGAGATCGACGCGGCGAGGGCCGGGAGAACGGCTCGGTAATCCCCCGGTTCCGCCGTTAACGTAAGATTCGGCATGGTCGCCAATCGCTAGATTTGACTAGTGATCTGTATATACTGCGTTGGAGATCGGATAAAGCTGCCGCTTCTGGAAGTTGAAAATAGGTACTGCAGAGTTACCCTGTGATCAATATGATGGTGAAGAATGGTACCTCGGGAATTGCAAGCTGGGAAATGGATGTGCAGAGGAGTTTTCGAGGTACGGGAGGAAACGAGTGTTGTGGGAGTTCTGTAGACTTCAATGTAATTCGCCACAACCAGCCCCGTTGTGATCCCCGCAGTCTAGCTTCCACTAGCACTAGATTTGATCTTCTGCATGCACATATCTTTTGTCATCAAAAATATTGGGTAAATGTGGTTTCCTCATTCAAAAAACAATATCAAACTTGATTTTCATGCATCTTCATTGAAAAATCTTGCGTCTTTTAAGTAAATCCTCTCAAGTTGGTAGTTGTTTGAATCATAACACAAGACATCCGAAGATGATGCTTGTAACGGTTTAGTCCTAGAATGTTGTAACCAGTCAAAGTCGCAGCGATCGCCAAAAGGCAGTCTCACGAGTAACTGCTTCAGGCGAACATCCCAAGCGCCTCCAGCCTCATGAGGCAACTTGGCTAAGTGCAACAAGGGCAGGTACTGCACACTTAGACAGACTGGGGCGTTTCTATGGCAAGAACCAGTTCTTGTCCGAATCCACTTAGCGTAACCACCTCGTAGGCCCAGATCCTGTGTGAGCTGCGAGACGCGCCAGCAATTCCCACACTGCCATGCAGCCCACACTCGCCGAGCCGCAAAAAAGCATTTACCAACCAAGCCCATCCAACGGTCAGATTTCTCGGATACATTTGAACGAACGGCCAACAAGCTCCACGGTCCCACAGAACCCACCTTCTCGCGGCTCGATGTGATGCGCTTCTCCCACATGTTTACCTCAATCTCCATTTCCCAACTCCGTTCGCCTCGCATTCGAATCCACCTTCACCTCGAAACCCAAATATTCCTAGCCTGCAATCGCCACTACATCAAATTCGAGAAAGTAGCACTTCAGTCCTCATCACCCTCCTAGTATCGGTTCCCAACTCCAACGCAACAGAGTTAGTGAGAAGTGTTTCAGGGAGTTGAAGCGACTTGCAAAAACCTTCGCTGGGGTATCCGTCCTCATAACAGAATCACACCGCGCAACTAGACCATAGTATTTTTCAAGGGAAGTCTCCACTAAGTCTCATGGCTCGTTTCACCTTAGTCGCCGCGTCAGCGCTTTCGGCGCTTCTCTGCATGGCAATCTGCGCAGTCGCGCAGCTGCGACCCGGCTGCATCCAGAAGTACACGTGTCCGCAGCGCACGACGAAGATGTGCGGCGTGTGGAAGACATGCAACGTGGTGAGCAACTGGGACGAGGTCGACAGCTACGTCGTCTGCGACAACTGCGCGTACCTGCCCAAGTTCGACGCGCCAGAGGCCACGTGCAACTTCAAGTTTGGCCGCTGCATGGCGAACACAATCGTACGTGATGCTGATCGGATGATTTTGTTTTTTTTCTTTTGCAAATGAAAACCTTTTTTTGCGGCGTGAAGTGGTTTCTCACTTTGTTTCTCACGGCAGTCGTATCAATTGCATGCTTTTTATCTTACTTTTCGTGCTGTTATATGATCGCTCATGCGTGTTCTCCCACTCTTCGCTTGCTCGTTCTCCGGCGTTTTACTCCCCAGGACGGCAAGGCCTGCAAGAAGGGCGACAAATGCGGCAATCCGGACTTCAAGTGCATGCCCATCAACGGCTACTCAGGCGCTGCCATCCCGCACCGCTGTTGCCGAACCAAGTGCCCTACCGGTCTCTGCGGCACGGGAAACAAAACTCTCAGTTACCGGAACCTTTGTGGCTACACGATGAACTGCCCCACTGACTGCCCCGTGGAGGTCGCAAAGAAGAGAAAGTAAATCCGGTTGTCGTCATCCATTATGATGCTGGAACGTCATATCTCGCAATAGTTGTACCCCCAGGCTACATTCCGTATCCACCATGGGTGGATGCAAATAAAGCCGTCTTTATCTAAGCTGTCCCGTCTTTTTGAGACATCGTGGCGGCGATATCATGTGTTGCGGGTGTCCTCATTGTATGTATATTAAGTACTTCGCCAAATATTCATGGTTTTTTTCATTCAGAATCCAAGGGGCACCTTGTCTGTTATTATATTTGCTCACCATGTGCCCAAAATGCCAAGCAGTGTATATGAAATTGGTCAATACTTTCTATTTTCTAATAACGTATCCGTCACCGCACAAGTAAAACCTCTATTACCTACGTGCACTCTACGGTAGTTGTCACTCTAAGCAGTGGTAAAAAACCTGCAACGGCACTGTTAGTAATTCTCAGGCCCTCAGAAGTCAAGAGAATTTTCTCTGATTTGCCTAGAAAATTCTGATATTTCAGCCTTCTTTTTTAGTGAACTCTGAAAGTTCAGAGATTTTTTTGCTGTGAACTCTGAATTTTTTTTTTGTTTAATGCAGGCCCTGTTTGATTTTTCGGCCTTTTTCTAGGAGTGTACTTTGATCCATGAGCGTTTTAGCGGGTACCTACTCTGGTATTCCTGTGCGAAATCTGCACCGACAGCCGCGATGAGCGCTGCTACGGTTCTGTCCTGTCAGTCAAGCTGAAACAGTGACAGCAGTGTCGCGGAGCGCAATCACCACCTCGTTTTAGGCTGATCCATCAGCTTCCGTACTGATGTCCTACTGATATAAACTCTGGATCCTGAAGTGGCCCAGCTAGTTAGCTAGTTCACTTCCGAAAGGTGAGATCCCGGGATCAAATCCCCTCTGAGGCGTTTACAGCCAGTCCCCACTAAAAGGGACTACACAGGTGCTCATCTGGGAGTGGATAGAACAATATCGTTACCCAGCGAGGCGTGTAAACACATGGAGAGGCGGGTTACTGTCAAACTATACATATGCTAGTTTTGTGTAGGCTTTAGTGGGGTAGCCCATATGGGGTACAACCCAATGTTAGGATTATACTTGTACCCACAATTCTTTCAATGCAATCATTCTAGCTTCTCATTCTACCATGGTTTCGGAGCAGTAAGTCCGTAGGACCTTTTTTTTTCGGGCCCACCATTCCGACTGCGGTTACCGCGTTACCCCACTGCCCTGCCCCGCGTCGCGCTGCCCCGCGCACGCCACCTGCGCGCTGCCCCTGCTGGCCGCGCGCCACTGCTGCAGCGCGCGGTTTCTCTAGCGCCGCACCCCACCCCGCGCGCCGCGCTTTGCGCCCCGCGCGCTGCCCCGTCGGCCGCTTGTATCCCCACGCGCCGCCGGCCCCTGCCGCGGCTGCCTACTACACCCCGCGCGCCACCTGTCGCGCTGCCCCGCAAACCCGTGCGCCGCCCGCCCTGCTGCCGCGGCCGCCCGTTACGCCCTGCGGGCAGCCCGCCCTGCTGCCCTGCCGGCCACTTGCAGCCCCGCGCGTCGCCTACCACAGCCGCGGCCGCTCGCTACGCCCTGCGCGCAGCCTGCCTTACTGCCCTGCCGGCCGCCTGCAGCCACGCGCGCCGCCTACCACAGTCGCGGCCGCCCGCTACGCCCAGCGCGCCGCATGCTGTACTGCCACGCCGCCCGCCTGCTGCCCCGCGCGCCGCCTGCCACTGCTTCGGCCCCCCGCTAAGCCCGCGCGCCGCCTCTGCGCTTGCCCCTATTGCGGTCGCCCGCTTCAGCCCAGCGTGCCGCCCCTACTTTTGCTGCTTGCCTGCAATCACTCTACCCTGCCAATCCCGCGTCAGCAGCTATGGCCACCCTCCGCGTTCTGTCGTTTGATACTGAGGGCCGCCCGATTCAGTTTGAGACCTGGCTCGATGATCTGCAGCTGTTCCTAATGAGCGATAGCAAGGACAATGTCTCTCTCTTTGACCACACGCCTGGTGCCTCAGTTGCTCCTGCTGCCACCACTGAGCTTAGCGCCCGTTCCCAGTGGCAGACTCATGACGCTGCTGCTCGCCTAGCCGTTCGCAACCACTTGCCGTTAGCCGAACTCACGCACTTTGGCGAACACAAAACCGCTAAGGCCCTGTACGACGTTGCTCGATACTCCTCCCCTGCCAGTGCTGCACTTAGCAGCCTCATGCTGCCCTACCTGTTTCCTAAGCTGTCCACTTTTGCCACAGTTGCCGATCGTATCACCCACCTTCGCACTAGTGACACTCGCCTTCGCGCCGCCCTCCCCAAAGAGTTCTTAGCTAAGAACCCGCCTCCGATGTACTGGACCCTCCACTTCATAGTGACCCGTCTCCCTAACTCTCTTCGCTCGGTCATGGACCACTTTCACGCTCGTTGTCCCACCGATCTTATGTCAAACTCATATGCTATAGTCTGTGTAGGCTGTAGTGGGGTAGACAATATGGGGTACAACACTTTAGGTTTTCCTACTTGTACCCACCTGCTTGCTAGTTCATTCATTCCTCATTTCTTCCCATGGTATAGAGCAGGTTCCCTAGTGGGAACGCTTCTTAGGGCCCACCACTGAAATCGATTTTTTTTTTTTTTATGACCGGAGCGCGAGTCGCCCCTGCCCGAGGCGCGCCCCGTGGGCCGCCCTCTCGTCGCGTCCCCTGCCCTTAGCGACCTGTCGCGCCCTCCTAGTGGCCCCTCGCGCCACCCTTAGCGGCCCCGTCGCCACCCCTAGCGGCCCCGTCGCCACCCTATACGGCCCCGTCGCCGTCCTTTGCGGCCCCGTCGCCGCCCTTCTAGGCCCCTCGCGGCCCCTTCGCGGCCCCGTCGCCGCCCCTAGCGGCCCCGTCGCCGCCCTTCTAGGCCCCTCGCGGCCCCTTCGCGGCCCCGTCGCCGCCCCTAGCGGCCCCGTCGCCGCCCTTTGCGGCCCCGTCGCCGCCCTTCTAGGCCCCTCGCGGCCCCTTCGCGGCCCCGTCGCCACCCCTAACAGCCCCGTCGCCGCCCTTCGAGGCCCCTCGCGGCCCCTTCGCGGCCCCGTCGCCGCCCCTAACGGCCCCGTCACCGCCCTTCGAGGCCCCT